AGCTAGTTTTTGGGACACCAACGTCCCGTATGAACCCAAATTGACTTTGTTTTCCTCTTTCAAGAATGAAATCAGTTTAGAGATAGTCACAGCTGCTCCAACTTCAATGCCAGTCTGATCTCTTTTGATGATTGAGGGTTCAGGAATGTACCTGAGATCAATGTAATGATCATATCGCTGAGTTTCCTTATAATAACCTGTGCCGGTATTTCCAACGATAAGTTTGAAGCTTGCACCATTTTCCGTCACATTGGAGTTCAACAAGCTCCGTAGCTCCTCAATGGAAACAGGACTGTACCAAGGGTACCTCCTTGAGGATCCCGAATTTGTGGCAAATTCAGTTTTCAAGAACTCGGGATACGTACTGAAATTCTTGGTTGGATCATAGGGAGGTAACTTGCTTACTTTCACTTCCTTGGAATCTCCTTTTTTCCAAAAAGAATTGAACCCCAAATCCTCAATATCAACGTCAGAAGCAAAACTCTTGCAGGCATCAGCAATAGGCCGGTATCCAGTGCATCGACAAAGGTTCCCTGCTATGGCCTTTTCAGCTTCAGATGAAGTAAGCTTAGAGAATCCTGGTGGAGGATCGGGTTTGTTTCCTTTATCGGCATTGACGAGAGCTGAAAAAAATGACATACACATGCCAGGAGTGCAAAAGCCGCATTGAGAAGCATGGAACCCGGCAAACCTTTCATGAATAGAGTGAAAACCATCTCTGGTGTTCCCAAGGCCTTCACTTGTCGTAATTGAACAACCATTTAAACTGCAAAGAAGTGTAAGGCACGAACTCACGCTAAAATCTTCGACCTTTTTAATATTGGGATCATACTTCGACACCAGAACAACACAAGCCCCACAACCACCTGTAACAATACAAATAAGTTATGTTCTTTCTGAAGCCAAAATATAGAATTGGTTACAAATACATAAATCAGTTGAAGAGATGATACCTCTCTAAAAGACTTATGAAGAAAAAAGGATTTCCATGTAATCTAAAGTCAGCAAAGGAATGAAACATCTCATTTAACATGTAATCTATGTTGAAAATCCATGGAAGTTGGCCATTTTATTTCATTGTACCAGAAAAGTAGTTCTTTATAGGGAAACTGCAGAAGATAGCTGAGTATGTAAATCAGTTACATATGGTGATACTTAAACTCCTTTTTTGTGAACATTCAGACTTATTGAAACAAAAAGATGTATAGTTTGGAGAACCTATTGTTTTAACTTCCAATTAACCAGAAGAAAAAAAGGAAAAGGAATTACATAAAGTAGTTCACTATGAAACTAAAAACTCCATTTTTTAGAGAAACCAATTCATATAAATGACTGATTTCATTGCCTGAAAACCTTCAAGCATCTGGAATCCAATGGCCTGATTAGTCCACTATAGCCCTCTGTATTTAACTCAAGACCTCCGGGTAAGAGTGAAAGAATCTTTACCGTCCCACTGCACCCTTAGATTGTCACTTAAGAGTACAGAATTAAGCACAGAAGCCTAAAAACCTCCTAAAGGAGTTCCTAATATGCTATCCTAACTTTCTGCAAGATCACTGGTAAACAAGAAAAGTACAGCAGAAGTCGTCAATTTCCATGAAAAGCACAGAATCAAAGCAAAATGAAGATTTGCATAAGAACACCAATTTAAGTAAATCCACAACTTTTAACATTCCTTATGTATCAGCAGTTAAACACTTTGTTGCTCAGACACTCCAAAAATGTTATCGCACTGTGTCAGATCCTCAAAAAATGCTCTAATTTTTCAAGTATCCGCACACACCTGTCACCAGTTTTGTAGAGTCCGAGCAACATAGCCAAAACAAACATATAGTGTACACTAGGTGGATTAAGAACCATGAAATCTCAGGTTCAAATCATCAAAGGCAAAAACACAACATGATTTCTTTCTATCTGTCCAAACCTTGCTTGATAGAGTTACGTAGGTATCTGCATAATTAGCCAAAGTGCGAGCAAGCTGATCCGGACCGCAGACAGCACGTTTATCATTTATCAAAAAAACATTTACTGTAGTATGAATGGTAAAAAAAAAATAGTAGAATTACCTTCTCCACAACCAAGCTTGGGACTCTTGAAACAAGTCTCAGAGCGCAAAAAGTGAAGCAAAGTTGTAGAAGGATCAACACATGGCAACTCAAACCTTTCTCCATTAACTGCCAAAACCAAACTCACATTTTTTTGTCTTTCATCCATTAATGTAATAGCAGTTGACTTCACACAGACCCTTTATCAAAAATCTTATCTTTTTTCTACTTTCTAAGCTGAAAGTTACCAGAACTGAAAGAGCAAACAAGAATTACTTTCTAAGATCATGTCCTCATTAAGCTACAGGCAGGGGCATACCTACGTGTCAAAAAATTACATTGTATATAACGTCAAATTCTGATTTTATGCGTATATATATTAAAATGAACCTCCTAGAAATAAAGTGGTGCCCAGGGGCGGACCTAGGTAGAGCCCAGGGGGTTCACCCGAACTCCCTCGTCAAAAAATTACACTGTATATATAACGTAAAATTCTGATTTTATGCGTATATATATTAAAATGAACCTCCTAGAAATAAAGTGGTGCCTTGGCTCAGCGGATAAGTGGTTCAACAACTACCCCTAGGTCACGAGTTCAATTCCCATTGACAACATTTTTTCCCTCCTTTAAATGCTTTCGAAAATGGAACTTTTTGGGCTTAGACTTTCTTCTTCTTTTTCATTATTTTTTCCTTTGTTCCATTTCTTCTTTTTAATTTGTTTTTCTTTAAATTTATTAGACACATTCTTTTTATATCTATTATTTATTTTGTTTCAACGTAACTCTTTTTTCATATACTAACTTAAATAACTCTTTTAAAAAATGATGAATTATATTTAACTAGAAATTGATGAGATAGAAATATAATTTTTTTTTTAAACTAAAAGGTAAATTAGATGTAATTGAATGAAGAAACTTAAATATCGTCAACATCCTTTCAAAAATATTAATTTATAGAATTCATGGAAAAAAAAATTATATTTTTAATTCTATTTTAGAGAGATGGAAACTAAACGTATTTGATTTTTTCGTTATTTGTCTTTTTTATAAATTATGACTAACCTAGTAAATTGAACTATATGATCTAAAAAAAAATTGAACGATACTATTTATTTATCTTCTGAATATGCATTATAATTTTAGTAACCTCTATTCTTACACACTTTTAGAGAATCTTGACGATTTTCATAGTAATATGTGATTGAATGGATGCTAATTAAAATTTTTAAAAAGTAAAAATTAAAAGTATAAAAAAGCACAAGAAATTTTAAGAATGCTCGATGGAGCATGATAAAGTAGAAAGAAATGATTAATACGGTATGATAAATAAGTTAAATTTAGCATGATAAGGTAAATATCTTTCTTCTGCATCTTACTCCCTTTTTCATCATTTAATTTTTTACGTGTTTTAGGAGTTAAACTTATGTAATACAGTCGATTTACTAAAATTCTTATGAATGTATCTTTGTCCTGAATATCTTTGATTAGTTGTCTTTACTTTTATGAACCAATGAAATATCTATGGTTCTTGTACAAAGAGCATGCCGAGGGACTACTACGCTCACCGCGCACTTACATTACCACCTGAACTTCTCCTTTATACTTTGAACCCCCTGAGCAAAAATCCTGGGTCCGCCACTGGCTGCAGGTATGTCACGTTCTATCTAATCACCTCTCCCGAAATCTTCTTCTGTCTTCCTTTACCTCTCTCTCACACCTCCTTATTGAAAAATTTGTGCATCTTCTCTTCAGATATCTGAATCATCTCGTGTCTCCCTCATCTTGTGCACCACGAAAATCACTTCTAAGTTCCACCTTCCCCGAATAGCTTTATTGTTAATATCACTACTAGTATGTCCACACATCCATGTTAACATACTTTTTGTACATATTCAAAAATTATTTAAATGAGATTTGAAGAAGTCATAGTTAGACAGATATGATTTTCTAAATAATAGTTTATAGATAATGGATCGGACAGCCACTTTAATATTAAAAAGATGACGATTATCTAATGTCTTCAATTATTTGAATCTAAATAACTTATTTATATGCATACTTTAGGGACATAAATAATAAATAAAGAAACTAAGAAGATGGGAAGAGACGACTAACTTCAATTTTAAAATTGAAAATTATTAGTGAATTATTTAAAAAACTTAATAGCTATATATACATCGAATACAGATATATTTTTATCTTGTTGGGAGTGTACTACATGAACAAACTATCAGAGATATCGAATTTGATGTTTCTTCTTTAATAAACTTTACGCAATATAAATTTAAATTAGTCGAATATCAATGTAAAACTCAAAATAAAGCGTAACTTCTTTATAAAGACTGCATAAACCGATAGTTTTTTTAAAATTGAATGGTATATATAACTTAAATCCTATTACTAAGTTTAATCAATAACTTTTAGTGTAAATTTTCAATTTCTAACCACTTTAAAGGGGAGTTTTTGGCGTAGCTGAAAAGGATGTTATTATGTGTCGGATCACAGATTCAAGCTGTGGAATAATCTCTTGTGGTCTGGTCTTTCAATATATCTCTTGCATGCAAAAGCTTTGTGCACCAAGTTACTTTTTTTATGTGCAAAATCCCAAACTAAGGAGTTAATAAGTAATTTAAGCTTACAATCTTAAAATTATGGAAAAGGGAGAAAAATACATTCTTAATTTTGCAATTCTTTTTGAGAAAAATTGATTACCTTAAGTTTATGTAAGTTATGAAACATATCTCATTAAATTTAATCACTTCAACTAGAAAAAAAGTTAACTCTGACATAATTACACCTCAATTTCAAGCAAGTTGGGCGGACAAAAAATTAACCTAAATCCGATGTCACAATTTTCTAGTCAACAACAACATACTTCGTGTAATTCCACAAATGAAGTATGAGAAAGGTAAGATGTACGCAGATCTTACCTCAATATTTACGAGGTAGAGAGGTTGCAAACAGAAACCACTTGCCTTGCTCATAACAAATAGTGAACCACAAGAAGTTACTTTTACATTTCACCTGAGTTATCAACAAATGCTAAAATTCACTTGTTCTACATATACAACATATAAATATGTATAACAGCAAACTTACAAAAAGCATAAAGAATCATCTCATTGAAACCTAAATGGCATATCCTATAATGTTACAACCAAAAAGTTGCAAGTCTATATGAGCAAGATAGGAAAGCCTGATAATCCACCTGGTGTAGATGACCACTTCTGAGGATCCTAATAGACATGCGCGACGTTTAATGTATATGTGCTGTGCTCGCGGGGCTTGAGTGACCCTTTGAGCAAAATGTGCCCCATGAAATGTCAAGATCGATGCTATTGCTCGTGGAAAATCTGACCCCATGATCATAACCAAGGTCAATCCTGAAACAAAATAATCTCCTTCTGCTTACAGTATCCATCCTTCTTGATGGGTGGTTTTAGACTAGAAAGACCTGGTGTCCCATTTGTTTACCAATAACTTCTGAATAATGGTCGTTATAATTCAGACGCTCCCAGAAACTCGACAGCCCGAATTCTCCATGTTTGGGTGACTTAACATAACATAGATACAACTCTTTGATGTTCTTCGAAAATGATTTCCTCATGTTAAGCACCTGCAAACATCAGATATTTATTTTGTACTTGGTTCCTTATCTTCACTCTCTCGGAAGAGGTAAAATACAACTTTTTCCACAGTAACTTGATTTAAATCCATATATGGCATTCCCCCAAGACAAAATAATCAAGATGCATGCAAGGCACGAGAACAGTTGCTGAAATTTGTACATACAATTTACTGTTTGAAAGAACTTGTATTAGATGTCCATTTAGAAGAAATGTAAATGATTGGGAATGCGAAAGAGTATGTGAAATCTATAAGTTTTTGGGAAGTTGTCAGGGTTATACATCTATACTTTGATAGAGCGGAATTAGATCCTCTATTTTAGGACAAATATGAATCATTGGAAATGCCAGAGTATGATTTCTACAAGTTTTTGGAAAGTTCTCGACTTTGCACATCTACAGATGGAAAGTAGGTTTGCTTAACTATTGATAATCTCCAAACAAGAGGGCTACATTTAGGTAGCAGAAGTTACTTATGCAGCATCCACGCAGAAACCATCAATCATCTTGTTTTTGCATTGTCCTATTACCGACAAGCTATGGCAGCTATTTCTCAATTTTGCTGGTATCAAATGGTCTATGCCTAGGAATACACAAGATCTTTTGCGTTGTTGGTATAGGCAGGGGCTGGACAAAAGCAAGAAATAGCTGGTGGTACACGATTCCATCATGTATCTAGTGGGTGATTTGGAGAGCCAGGAACTCCAGAGGTTTAAAAGAGAAGCAAAAATCAGTTGAAGATTAAGTTAGACTGTAGCTTGTTATTTCACTTTTGGTCTCAAAAGGAATATGCAAAAGAGGCAACTTTACTAGATTTCATTTTGTCCCTAAGATTAGCAAAGGGCTAATTCTTTTGGCTTTTTCCCCTCACTTGTATAGGATCTCCAGCACTACCTTTGTGTTGTTTATGAATACAACTATTACCTGAGAAATGTCTCCTTTCAGACAAGATCGAAAATCCACCGCAGATTGCAAGATACTTCGTATAATGCTGGCAATATGTTGAGTTTCCTCTGACAAGAAACATCTGCAAAGGTTCATATTGAAAATAATCATAAATACATCAGACAGAACAATTTTAATTATCATTGACAAAACTGAAAAGTGAAGTTAGGGACTTGTGTCTAGAATAGGTCACGGTCACGAGTAAGCCATTCTAAACTCTTTAAGTCAATTCTATGACAAGTGGAAAACCTTCATTTAATGGAGAATTCACTTTAGCAGTATGAACTTAAAGTTGTTTACTTTATTTTTATTTGTGTGTGAGCGCATGGGCGGGGGGAGGGGGGGGGGGGGTGGGGGAT